TCATTTTGATATAAAACATCTGCCAGGAATACATAACCATTTACCGGATATGTTATCACGCTTTGTACCGGACTTTAATAAATCCGTACGTGAGTTACTAGCCACTGACTGGAAGTGTAATCCCAGGTGGTTTGAATTGGCTCAAAAGATATTCTGGCCACATACCATAGATATGTTTGCTGCACATCATAATGCACAACTATCGAATTACAGGACTTTAAATCATCCTTTACGAGACGCCTTTCAAATAGACCTCTCCAAACATAATGCGTGGGCTAATCCACCATGACAGTTAATTGCCCAGATATTAAATTATGTTCATATACATAAAGCTACCATCACGGTGTGTTGCCCATTACGGAGTAAAGATCCATGGCTCAATAAATTAATAAGCATGATACAATGCGAGCCAATATATTTAGATTAGGAAGTAGATACTTTCCTATATCAGGGTACCCGAGAGTTCCAGAAGACGCCCTGGAGACATACTATAATATGTCGTATAGGTCCCATTGGAACAACCAAATGGACCCCTTCTGAGATCTTCCTTAACAAGGTCAAAGAATCAGAGATTCCACTCTCTACCCAATTGAACGTTAAGCAGTTCAAAGGCAACACAGCATTTAAAGTCTGTACACAAGAAATACAATCTACGAATGACACTGTTAAGAAGCGTCAGTCTCTAGCTAGGACTCTGTTTAATAACATAAAGTCCAAGCCCGAGGTCTTTCAACCCATATTTCTGAAGGGATTAATGAAAGACAATCCTGAAGCGTATACACATATAATGCGACTATTTAATATGTCAGGTGTATCTAACGCACATGAGCGCACTTCTGACACTCATGCGAAAGCAGGACAGGAGTCTGGAAACACTACAGACTTAGTGACCACGCAAGTGGATTCTCAACACCCTACCTTTATTCTGGAGGAGCAGAATGATGAAAACATTATTGCTTGGCTGACGCGAAACCATAAGCTGAAGCACCAGAACGTAGTAGACGCACTTAAAGATGCTAAGCGACATGGGATCGCGCACCCTAAGCTGGTAACTTTAGTTGACAGGGTATATCAGTCATGTACAGACTGTGATCTCAATCAGATCAAGCGCTATAGGTTCGCACCGCTTAAGAGTGTGACTGAAGATGTTCCATGGCGCAGGGTCATCATTGATCTGGTTGACCTACCCACGTCCGAGCACACAGGCGACCGTTACGTATGCCACTTCTTTGATGTGGTGTCACGGTTTAACTTGCTCTATCCATTAAAGGATAAAAATACGCAGACCGTGGCAGAATTATGTTGCCAAGTCTTTGCTGACCACGGGTGGCCGGGTATTATGTGCGCTGATAACGGTAGTGAGTTCTGCGATGACGTAATGGAATCGCTAGTACTCGTATCCAGCATATGCTAAAAGAGAGGTGTGCCATATAAGCCACAAACGCAAGGCGCGAATGAAACGCGCCATAGAAGACTTAGGTTCTTCTTGCGTACGTGTTGATGCAGATTATTGGCCGTACCACCTTAAGTGGGTACAAACACAGATGAACGAGTATGTTGATCCGGTTACAGGAACTACACCCGCTCACTATTTTCGTGGCAGATATAGTGAGTTACAAAGCCCCTTTAACAAGGACGAACCGGATCACCATGATTTACCTGCTTAGAGAAGGTACAACGTATTTATAACGTTGTATATTCTTGCTTGCGAGAAATACGCAATATAGCCTTATTAAAAAGGCAAAAGCGTTGGAACACTACCAAGAAGATAGCAGAGTATCAGGTTGGTGACAGAGTTAACATCCGTCAACGTAATTCCGATGCTACTGTATTAACATCTAAATGGATATGTCCATATATAGTCTCTGTAGCAGAAACTAAAAGTAGAACGTACGACGTAAATAACCCCGATGGTTCTAGTGCGCTTAATATAGGCACAAGTCGTATTCCGACTACAGCGATTGTCCTCGCAAGAAGACATGATTCTAATGCCCCTCTTGATCGTTCTGAATATAAAGACATTATATGGAGAACGGATAAGGGAGGCTATACATACTATCGTACACGCTTTATAGACGGTATAATAGCTGAGTTGATTTCAGATGCTTTCGATAATCAAGACTATTTAAAAGCCTTTAATCGAAAATGGCGTAAACGCCTGCATAAGTCACAAGCTGAAAAAGATAGCATGTTTCCATCGTCTGAAGGAACGTAAGTTAAAACTTATCCGTCTACAGCATTTATCCCGAGCTTTAATGCTCATCCTTCATATGTGCTTAAGACACTGAAGCGTAAGAAACGTTCAGTCGACCACCACGGACCTACTGGACCTAAGCCCAAAACTCACAGGGTAACCGAGAACACTTAATTTCGCCGCCTGAGAAACATTAACTATATGTTATGCTACTTAATGTTTCGACCCGTTTTTCCTTTCTCGCTTTTTGACCCATAATCAACTTGAGTGAGCAACTTGCTTCTCATGGGTTTCAAAGCTGGGTGGGGGCTGTGTAATAAGCCGGGCTTCCGCATTAGACTCTATGTTATAAACGTACTCTTAAGCGGTACGTAAATTATAAACGGACTCTTAATAGTTCGAGGAACTTAAGTTTCCTAAATGTACTCTTAATAGTACGAGGAACTCAAGTTTCCTAAATGTACTCTTAATAGCACGAGGAACTTAAGTTTCCTAAAATGGGTTTAATGGTTTTATTAATTAATACCTTTTCCATTTTACATATCAGATATTTGGGCGAGACCATTAAAAGACCTCAGTAAAATACCAAACATAAGAGTTGGTCTAGTTCTATTAATAGAACTATATTTACTTTCCAACTTTATCTACATCTGAATACTTCGGTAGCGAGATGGCTCAACCGAATATAGGTTTCTAGGAACTATTAACGTTACCTAGTTGATCCTCCGATCAGCCAACCAGATGTGCCAGTCTGATGAAGGCTAAGTCGGTAATTCTTGATAGTGGCAAGTTATTGGTTAAGACAATAACTAAGCACATCAAGAGTATTTTTATTATGTTATTTATTTTTTCTAAAGATAGGATTTTATGAGTCTCTCGGATTCGCCCCAGTGAAACATGCCATAGTTTTTAATAGAGCGACAACGAAACACTAAATAAAATCCCTTCGGCGGAAACAGTACTGAGAGGATTATATATAGGCCATGTATCAGCCTCACAATCCCTCAGAGTATTGCTGTTTTCACGAGGCATACCTAACTTTCCTAAATGTCTTATTTCGTTTATTTACTTGGATATTTTCACGATACTTAGAAATTACCTACGCGTTTATTTATACTACGGCGTTAATATCGCCTTGAGAGACCGAATCTTACATCTAAATGCATGAAAGTGTGCAAGATTGACAGGAGAAAATATTTTTGTATACTTGTAGCAATATTGAGTGTCCAGTTGACATAGGAATGTGTCCAGGGGTCCCGAAGGAGAGCCTTTGATTTTATTGAAAGTCCATTCAAGTAAATGAGAAGTATAGAGTATCGCCCGAGGAAGAATGTACGATTTAATGTTCTTGATGCGAATAATATATTGATTCATTTTTATTTCTGTGTATTCACACAACTAAATGTGTGGGATCAGATGTTTCCAGGGGTTCAGCCGCGAGATTGGGAATGACCACGAGGGGTCTCAAAGTCAGTATCAAGGGTACCATCAGGAACCTTGAAGTGGAGGACTTGATTTAAGTAGTATTTATTAAAGGAAGTTGCAGCGGCCATGTACAGATTATCACGCCAGTCGTCGTATTTGTCACCAACGAATGAAAGTTCTTCCCAGAGTTTGCGATTCTGGTAAGATGGGGGACCATGGTTACTTTCGAATAAAATAAACTACAGCTTTACAGCCCATAACCTAATGAAGTCCATTATTCGTTGGACGTGGAAGAACTATTTTTTATTGTATATTTGTCGTAAATATACCAAAAAAAATTAGTGTATATTGGTGTAATTATAAGTCTCATATGTAGGACAACTATAGAGAACCCTGGTGGTTCCTATATTTTAAGGACAACTAACAAGGGCCGGGAATGACCTTTTTTTATACAGAGCGGTGTAACCGCGACAACATTGCACCTTTATTTTTCTAAATATATGCTTTCTGGGCACGGAAGCGTAACTCTCTAAAAATTGAGCAACGTGAAACGCGGTACAAGTGATATAACTAATTGAACCCTAAACCCAAAAGCCATTAACCAACCGAGAGTGATAGTGCCGAAATGTCAGGGCGAAATCAAACTTCATGCTTGACTTGGGATTTCAAATTCGACACCACTCAAAACTTACAGGTAACGTATATTGAACTGATCATTGTTTACGTTGCAATGTAAAAACGTTATGAGGGTCACAGTGGTACAGTGCCAGACTGCCAGTGGCATAGTGTCAGACTGCCAGTGGCAGTGCCTGAGTGTCAAAAACTAAGCTCATCATCAACTCAGTTTACTAGAAACCTAAACCGGGGGATTTTCCACCTAGTTACATATTGTTTTGTCATCTACATAGTCCTTAAATACTGAACATGAGCAAAACTAGACATACACACAAGATATTTTTCTCATTCTTTTTGTATAAATATATATTATATTATATTAGATCCGATAAGGAATAATAGACTTTATTAGGTTATGGGCTTATTTTTCTAGTCCAAATTCATTTCTTCGACCATGCGCACCTCTACTGATTAAATTTCTTCGACCGCTTTCTTTGACCATGCTCAGCTCTACAGACCGACCGCAGGCTTCACACGCATCAAATAGGCACGCCTCACCCTCTCTGGCGAGAACTACGATCGCTGGGATACTGATCTGTATCTCGCCGCTCTAGGTGATTATGAATGGCATCTCAACCCCATCTTAAACTATTACGAACTTCTCAAACCGCTTCCTATTCCTGGTGCTAAACCAAAACGTATAAAAGGTTAGTTGTTCGGATTAAAGATTAATAGACTTTATAGGTTATGGGCTTGTTTTTCTAGTCTGAATTTATTTCTTCGACCATGTTCAGCTCTATAGACACAACCGCAGCCAGGTAGGGCTCGAGGAAGATTCCCGGGCTTGGGTTATTCGCTGCAAGAAGCTTTAATCAGATACGGAACTCCAAGGATTGCTTTTTACTGAAAACTTCATCAGCTAATGTTCCCTCACTGGCCTTTCTCAAGAAGACCAGGAGCAGGCACGGCAATATATGACGGATAAGGCCCTTCGCGCCACTCTCACGTCTATTGTGTTCTGTGACCTGATCGACAAATGGTACAACGCCGACTCGGAGTATCTTACGGCTGCCCAACGTGCATGTCGTGCTACTGCCGTTCGACTCGAAGTCGCCCGCCGCCCTGATCATTCTCAGACATGTTTTGTCTGCTGGAAGTACACCCACCACTCGTTCAAATGCTCCATTGGCTGTCGACACTGTGAAACGAAAGGCCACAAAAACGCCAATTGCACTGCCGGCTTCCTACAATGTGCAATATGTAGCAAAATGGGGTACAATAACATATGTTGTGGACGCCGCTTTATTAAAAACAGCATTCGTTATTCTTTGTCGCTCGTATTACTGTTGACCACACCAAGCACAGAACAAATGCCGCTATGCTTATTGATGTGTGTGTGGGTGGGGGGGGGGGGGGGGGGCGTGCTGTTTAAATTACTTTAACACCAGCGCACGCAATTTATTATTTTCGGTAGAAAAAGGCCATTTTACATTAATACTTGCTGATAACTCCGAGAAAGTCATCCCCGAACGTGGAATCTTTCCTGTTCTGAGGCTCACTTACCTTGATCCCTCTTTGAAACAACCACTTGTTTCTCAAAATAGGTTGCAGGATCATGGGATTTAGCATAGTTGCTTTTGAATGTGAGATTTCACACGGCGCTATATCACTTCATATCTCCTGAATCAACGGCTGCTATCACGTCTTTTACTCAACACTTCAACTATTTATGACACATCATCGTACCTCAATCTGGTCGTCTCAAAGACGCTAACCCTATTCTCCCCGCGAAGCTCCTGCTCCGACTCACAGCTCGTCATCCACCTCTCGTCCGGCACCATCTAATCTATTGTCCACTCCTGCCTTGCCTCCTACCGGCACGGCGCTAATTAATTCTACACCTACGTCACCTGCCGCTATTCTGTCATCCAGCACGGCCCTACTACCCTCTACGTCTCCCAGCGCAGATGTCACTAATCCTTACGATGAATATCGTCCTCGGCATGGCAGCCGAGGATAACATCACGTTAATGAATCCGCCTCCTCTAATGGTCACCACCGAGGCATGGATTCTAAATCGCATCGACTGGCGCAAAGCTGTGAATTTTCTCCAGTATTCTTCTACGATTGACGTTTGTGCTTCTACTTCGAACGCCCAACTCCTGCGTTTCGCTGGCCCGGAGAACGGCCTCATTAGCTGTTACACCAAAGTTGACCATCATCACGAACGGGTCTATGGCAACTCTCGATGGTCTTGATATACATGATCTCATCGAACTTAACATTCGCTTGGGCACTGTTATCGCCATCTGTGTTCCATTGCGCCTGTGTGCAGCCTGGCGGCTGCTTTTCGTTCACGTATTCAGCGTGAGGTTTACATCATACATAACACGGCGACTAGGTTTCGTTGGTACGGGCAAAACGTCCGTCGGCAAGTTAACATGGGTGTATACCCTTGTTGCTTTGCTACGACCCCTTCGCTTAGCTGTCGCCCCCAGTCTTAACCTCCTTACTGCCATTACCTACACACGTGCCCACCCAGAGTTCCCCCGTCTGTCAAGAGGGCAAACTGAGGAGAAAGCCAGTTAAGCACGCAATCCCGGACTCTGTCTACGGCCCTGGGGGACAATCTAATGATGATCTCCAGGGGCCGATGTCTAAAGACCCTTGCGGCAACCGCTGTGCTGCTCTTAACATGTTTTGTAATGGCCCCCGACAAAGCCGACATGACCAAGGCGCTCCTAGCTCTTCTGGTGCAGATTCCGGCCCACTACAAACCTCACACCGTTTTTGCAGACGGCGACATTGTTTTCCAAAGTCAAAAGACTCGCGATATCCCGTGGTATGTCTCTTCGCAAATCGCTCGCGCACACTCCACAACTCCATGATAAGGTGGAATGTCCACACCGCACCTTGAATGAACTCACCACTATTCTGCCCATTGACTCCCTCCGACCGGTTTCACTTTGAGCACATGCCAAGGCCCATGCCGATATGATTCGAAACGAGAACCTAGCAGCAAATGAACGACTACACTTACAGTCCGATAAGTGGCACGGTACAACTGCACCATAATTTTCTGAAGTATGATATGGGTGCGTGGTCATGTTCAAGCAGTCTGGTGTCAAAGCCAAAAGCGCCCACAAGTATGGCTCTCCATGGATCTGGTGTTTTTCTCGGTCGGGAGCCCAACTGCACACCCGACACGCAGAATATCAAAACTTTGCCACTCAACGGCAACCTGCTCTCGCAAAGTCAAATCTGTACCTGACGCAACTGCCGCAGTGGAATGTGACAGGTAAGCGATACACACATACCACTATACCATCTGGATATGGGTTTCCGACAAATTGGTATGAGTTGGACTCCCCACTCACCGCTGTTGTGCCACACGTCCCTCCTACGCCATCCACCGATGCTTCTACATCACCTCCCACAGACACATGCCACGAATCTTCGACTGCCGCTGTGCCTCTGTAAAACTCTCGCCCCTCCTTCTGTGCACTCTCATCCCGTTGCACCGACATACATCACACAGACACCATATCTCCCACCTCTTTCCCTGACTCCTCCATTACCTTTGGCTCTCCCAGCAATCGGCCCCACCCCTCCCGTTACTTCAGTAGAAGCTCCCATCCCCCCTACTTTTGATCCTTCCATAAGCAGTTTATTATTTAAGTACACTACTCCTAAGGGTTTCTTACCGATTTCCAGGGCTATCTGGATGATCGATGGCGCCAACGTCTGTTCAGCCCACGCTTGCTGAGCAGAGCCCGCCTCTACCATCTCCACACATCCCTGTGGATGCTATGTCAACTACGGCTTTCGATGGCTCTTATCACACGGACACAGACGACCCATTCGACTCTCCCCGCTCACCCCGATCCACTGGCTCACACTCGTCCGTCACAACCTTCGACGACGGCCTCAGCTTCCCTGTAGATCTCAGTAAGTATACTGCTCATTTCATTTTCCCTAACACCCCATTTCTCTCTGCTCGATCGGCCACCACTGGTGATCTCACTATCATTACACCCCTCGAATTGCTCGACCTTGCAAACTTCGATGGATATTATTCACTATGTTTCAAACTATGTTAACAAATGTAAGTCAGTTAACATTTACCAGTGGTGGCTTGTGTGAAAATGATCGGGACTACCTCTTGGTAAGAGCCTTAATATCCTCGATCACACAGGGCGTACCTCTAGCTGTTCTTTATTGGATAATTTTTAGTAGAAGCACTACGTGTTCATGACCCCATGCCTATTTTGTAGATAGATCATAGGCATAAGAATGTCAGTCACGTTAATACATTAGCTATTATAAATAAAATTCCGTCTGAAGAAAAGTAAAAAAAACAAAAACTTATTGGATTTTGTAGATTGGTGGGAGGACCAAAAATTATATTAGCAGTTCAGAGATAATATAATTGTATTTGTAATATCCCGCATGTACTAATGTCTCAAATAGGTCCAAGTAAATGAGTCCTACCAAATACTCAGGCTATTGGAGCCATCAAAGTCAATTTAGAACACTTTGGAAATAGTGGAAGAAGAAAAAGAAAAAAACTTGTATTGAATTATTTTCAAATACAATAAAAACCAATGTGTTATCTCATTTGATCTTGATATTTCAAACAGAACAGAGGCCGTATTTCACATCTTTCTCGCCTTCACGCTGCCACGCTGTGTAAAGCAGGCACATAAATCCAACACCTGACCTCTATTGCAAAAGAACACGCAGCACAAATCAAAAATGACTTGGCCGATGTCATCACCCTTGCATCCGTCCCAGCCAACACATGTATATTCACTTCAAATATGTGCTGACCAGAAAGCACGATGAGAATGGCACACCCACTATCGTTTTAGTATGCGGCAGACGTTTCTTGATGGCGTAAAGATATGTCTCTATCATCGAATACACAGACGAAAAATCCTGCTTATTCTCCCTTCCAATATTTGATCACCATACGCAATATGACGTATTGATCCCTGCTTTTGTATCATCTATCCGTTGTCCACTTCTTCCTCCCACTCTTTGAATTCAAAGTACATTGACATACACCCATGCCAACCCATGTAACGTTGTCCATAGTGCTCGTAAGTTGTGTCTCTAGATGATATGGGGTCGAACTTCATCTTCCAGTCTATGAATGTGAAGAGTTCTGTACTGCCTTTCTTTTGTAGGCAATGATCATGCATGTCGTCGAGTATTTTATCATAGTGATATTGCTGCTTTTTGACTCTGGTGCGATGACCCGTGTAGATCTCCAACTTATCGCGACACACCTCCAATACATCCAAAACATCTTACTGAACATCGGCACCAAAAATGCGCTCCGCCTTACAGTTCCCTTTATTTGGGAGACTACCCAGGGCAAAATTTTGCATCCGTTGCACTCATCATCTTTTATAGGTACATTTTTGTCCGGGTTCATAAGTGCATACTCTAATCCGTGTGGGTTAACCACATCCTCCTTGATTACGTGGTGATCTAAATAAATTTTTTTTTTTTTGAATAAACGTCCTGCCGAGGTCTACTAAGTTTGCTAGCCGTGAGCGCTCTGTTGGGTTTCGGCGAAGTCCTCTATTATTGTTTGCATCCGTTACTAGACCTCCCGTCACATAGCCCACCGCTTTTGTAATATTCTCATCATTGTTGGTAATAGAGAGTACTACCTTCATGAAACTAGTTTTACCTATGTGATCATCTTCGTCAACCGACACTAGACAGTCCTTATATAGAACCTCTGCAGGTTTACGGTGTGTGAGTGAAGGCAATGTTATAACTTCGTCATGCCCAATCCTTATAGGCTTTGTACCCCATGATATTAAACATACATTGTCTTCCGAAAGCAAGAGCTAATACAATAGCAGCTTCTAGGTGTGCTTCGTTAAATTTTGCTTTGCTGTATTTTACAACATCTAGAGCATTGTCAGCATCCATTGTAGTTCAGTCTCAATAACTTACATCCCGTGATAAGTCAGTTCGCCCCACTGCTTCTAACGATCTATTACTTTTACTAGCGAGTGTTTTCACTAGTATGACCCGAGTAACCCTCTTTTGCAAGGAGTTCTTGGGGCTCTATTAAATACATCTACAATACTATTTAATTCTCGTCTACCTACGGTTTTGTTAGGGTCTTTAGACGCATTATCACTAGCACCCAGAAAAGTAGCAACATCGCTCAACAAAACGTCCGTGTCTGCTCTATACACTATATGCGCTATATGTTTTGAAGCCTTAAGCACGATTTAATACATACAGCTCTATCCGTGCGGATGTGTTGTCTGCAATTCCATGTTGTGCGTACGTAAATCTGCACTGAACAGTGCCTTCCTAGAGTTACGGCTCCAGCCAAATGCCATTGAAATACCTGCTATTGTATTTATGCGGGTATTATTACTAGCGCTGATTGTGACAATGTTTATATTATCTCAGTTGACGCACTGGCATTGCGTGTTGGGGTATCAAGCGCACAGATATTCTCAGCAATATCTATATGTGCTCTTTTAGCTGAAGAACGGCCTGATGATACACGCTCTACCTCGTGGACTACCTTAGTTGATCCCTTCTTTTGACCACGTTTTCTAGTGCCAATCAACCCGCTGCATGCACACTTGCACTTCTTACACGCACTGCCACACGTTGAGCATCGCCTACGCTTATCATTGCATATATATTCATCACAAACATCATGCAGTGCGCAATTACCGGCTCTACTCGCCACTATGCGCTTGTCTATACTCGTCGAACTACTGATGCCGACCCACTAGTTGCCTACACCGACAGCGACAGGGAGATTTTTATCAGGTACTGGCCCGCGCTTTATCGGTACATACATCTTCTGGAATTCGCAAAAGCAGCGCACCACCGCACCTATCTCATCGGAGACTGAGTATGTTGCTTCATCAGAGACCGCCCGCAGTGTATCATGGTTCCGCAATATCCTCGGTCTGGGGTTTTTAAGCATGACTCATCGTCAACTCAGTCTAATAGAAACCTATACCGGGTTTTCCTCCACCTAGTTACATATAGTTTATTATCTACATTTTGTAGATCCGTTTAGATGCTGAACATGAGCAGAACTAGACATGTATAAGTTTTAAGTTACACAGAATACTTCTTATACTTTTTCATATATCACTAGTACCCAGAAATCCTACGAATCGTAGGATTTTTTTTTAAAAATTTGGCTCTTTTTCTTCTTCTAAATCCTACGAATCGTAGGATATTGAGGCCTTTAACTTCGGCCCTTATTTACACCCGTTTAGAAATGTCTTAGGCCTATGCTCTGTGTTGCAAATGAAGGACACTAAAATTCTGGCTGAAAACTACATGCAAAACATGTCAATCCGTCGAAAACTTTCTTCACAGCAATCATTCAAACTCAGCAACTCGAACAAATAGACATAGCCATACTACTAGCTATATGTATCCTATGTGTAAAAGTACTGTAAATAGTCGTTTAGATAGCTAGTTAGCATTGGTTTAAAGGTAGATAACCCCTCACCGGATACGGTAAGACGTAACCAACATAGATATCAACATTTCTACTCAAGGGCATTACCTTCATAGCACGAATATACGCATATACAGGGTATCGAACAAAGTAATTTTGATACTTGCAATAATGCTTTAGATGCACAAAGCACAAGAACACAACATACTTGCACGCAGCTATCAAACTCGTATAGTATCCTATACACAACCCAATTTGATGGATTGCTTCAATGGGATGCAACCGCAACAATATGCATTTCACGATAGTTACATATTAGAAGATGATAGTTATGCTAGAGTTGATTACAACGTTAACAGATGGGATCCTTTATCTTACACATCACTACAAAACATGTTTAAAAATATAGAACCATAATATATTGAATGGAGAGTAACTTTATTAACACCTCTACGGAGGGTTTTTATATATACAGCACTTATGCATATATAGTCACACGTAAGTTATAAACGCATGACTTATTGCGGTGAACTTCTTATTTGACAGCTCATAATACCTGTCAGAGGTAATCATTATTTGACACCTCATGGCACCTGTCATTTAGCCATCCTTCTCGGTGTACCGAACTGTAGTTGTTTCTGAACAGAATGATGACCGGGTTGATTTTGTCCAAACAAAACAGCAGTCAAAAAGGACCGCGGGTGTATCTGGTTGCCGCGGACTGCAGTGGGCGGGGTGGGGCCCACAGCCCACTGCACCTACAATAGTATCAGTGTTGTAACTAAACATACATAATAAACAAAACTTAATGTATTTTCAATAAGTAGTACATAATGCACTCTGTAAGCCTTATTAACCCTACAACCCAGTATGTTTCAGAAAATATTTTGAAAAAATCACCTGATTTCAAAAAAATATTAGAAAATTCATTTTTATTGAAATAAATATGTGGCAATTTAATTTTCTTAGACCGTCTTGTGAAACTTAAGAGTCTCTTTTAGATCATTTTTACTCATTTCTACCCTATTTATTAAGGCTTCATATCCAAATGGGCAGAGTAAGTCCAAAAGATAAAAATGGATGAAAAACAATTTCCTGATTTTTAAGGGACAACGTGTCTGATGAAAATTAGGAATTAGAAATCCTACGATTCAACGCTGGGTACCCCTTCCTGGTACATTTTTTTTTGACGCCTTTTGGCTGCTCTTGTATGAAATCCTACGATTCGTAGAATTTTTCAGCGGTACTAGTGGTGATATTGTCAATGTACATTGTACAGTATATATTCCAACTTGCCAAGTAACTATTTATTTCTTTTTGTTGCTATTATACGTTTACTCCTATTTTTATATATTAAATTTTCTACATTGTGCGTGTCAGGATGCTGAGTATCATCATGTATGTAACGAGGAATTGTCGAATGTCAGATTGACATTGTCGAATATCGACACGAGAAACAACTTTTTTAAAATGAAAACGACAAGTCACTGAGAGTCCGAGAGTCCGGCTCTATATAGCTTATTTTGTATTTAAAAAAAAAATAATTTCACGACGAGAGTCGACACTCGACACTCGACACTCGAGACTTCAAGAACAAATATCTCGACTTCTCGAGACTTCAACTAATGAGTCTCACTGTGACTCTGCGTCCGGACTCTGGAGGGGTGAGACTTAGTGAGAGGCTGAGAGCGATTTGTAAATGACAGTATTTTTAAATAGTGCAGAGTGCAGAGTTGCAGACCCCAGCCCTAGACAAACAATATTGTAAAAAAATTGTTCGGGCGGTTTGGATGTGCTACTTTGGTTTAGACATTTGGTGGTCTAAAATCGAAGGGGGGGGGGGGAGGGACTAACGACTAACAACTTTGACCTGTACTAACGTTTGGACCAATAAGAACCCATAGAACGATACGTCATAAGTACGATTTTTGTTTTGTTTGGAGCCGATTTATGCCAATAGCTACGCAAGGGGCACAGTCATCACTTCTCAAATATATATACGTATGTTAAATATTTAGGTCAATATTGACCCAAATGTCTGAAAAATGAATCCAAATTTATTAGTCCTTATATTGTCGTAAGTCCAAAATCCAGTGGGGGTCTCTCAACCAAAGTAGCACATCCGAACCGCCTTGACATATTGATGTTTTTATTGTTTTTGTTTTGTTTTTAAAAATAAATATATAAATAAATTTTATAAAACACAAAAAACAAAGACCAACAAAAACAAAACAATGTTCTCTTTAAAAAAAAACACAATCGGAAACCTGTTTCCCACTTTCCTGTACATATATTTAAAAAAAGGGTTCTTGTAGAGCTTAGAGGTAAACTCCTTCTATTGATGAGAGTAGTTCTATTGGTGAGTAGGAACGAACTCTGAACTCTTAAGTCTGTAGTCACATACCTATCTGTGGCGGACTGACGGTTTTGTACTCTGACAGTTTGACTTTTCTGTGGTAGTTGAAAATCTACTATTCTGTTTAAAAAAACCCCCAATTCAGAGTTATTTCTGTTCATGGTTCTAGTATATTTTTCTGTTTCAAAAGGAACAATAAAATTATCAACCACCTCAGGCCCAATTTCTTACCAGTCTCATACCTATACTTTTTCGAGATTAATTTGCTTAAATATAGGTGTATTTAAAATGTAATTAGCAAAACCCTAATAAAACGGGTCGTAGGCGAGCGTCGCAGGCATAGTGGTCGCAGTCTTAACAAATCTCATGTAAATACAGTTAACAGTATCTATTTAAAAAAAAATTTGACTGTTGAAGTTGACTGCATGGGTGATATTTAAATAATAATTTTTTGTCGAGTCTCTCTTTCTCTCTCTATTTAGTTGTCAGTCTTCACTTCAGTCTCTTGTAAATATTTAAAAAAAATCGTGTTGGAATCTTGGATTGTACATACATGTAAATATTGCACGGCCCTCTGGATTAGGGTCTCGAGCAGAAATCAGGTTACTTCCGACGACATCGTAAATTTAGAGCAGACTCAAATCCAGAGGGCATCACACCGGCGAACGGGCGGGCGACCAGCGTCGTGCATTCGTTTCTTATTTTTGGTAGTTTGGAAAAGAAAAACCAAATATATTTATGCAACAACCCCAAAATTCAAATCATGTGTATGTAGCCTTCTTTTTGTTAAAATAAAATAAAATCAGACAGAATATTGATTTTGGTTTTTTTGAAAAACATTAACGGCAATACATATTTACGTGTATTTAACGTGACTGAGAAATGAGAACGGATAGTGATACAGTGTTATTTATTTGAAAAAAAAAACTGAAAAGATGCCAGCCGGATCAGGAATCAGCAGTTCACTTGAGTTCAGTACAAACTTTCGCCTTTCGGCCTCGGACTTCAACGTTCGATCCTCACAACAAGCCTACAACAAGGCCGAGGCGTCGAACTCACATATATAAAGGCACATTGATTGATTGATGATGATGAGGATGCTCTGACATGAATGTATGACACATGTTTTACACGTGTATTTATCATACGTTTCAAATTTTAATATTACGAGAGACCAAAAAGCTTTCATATAACATACTGCATACTTTCACACATTTGGTACTGGACACTTTGTCTGGACTGGGCTCTGGAGTCTGGAGTCTGGAGTCTGGAGTCTGGAGTCTGGAGTCTGGAGTCTGGACGCTGGTCAGTGGTCCGCCTGTTAGAATACCGTTTTTTAAAATTCACCCACCAATATGACACGTAGAAATCAGAAAAGAAGATACATTGATGAATGCAATCAAGAGCATTTTTGGTAATCTGAACCTCTGGCAATTTTCTTTTTGCCGTTGATAAAAACTTTTTGATAGGGGCACACACGCAAATGTGTGAAACGCTGCCGATATTGTAAATAAATATTTAAAATAAAATAAAATACAGAAATAAATGTAAAGCAACCAAAAACATAAATAAATATATATATGTAAAGCAACCTGCTTCAGCCTACACAAAGATAAAAGTTCGTGGTTTTTAGAAATACGTAAAATGCTGATGAATCAGCTATTTACAACTGCTTATTTAATGGGGTTGGTCATGGCACGACCTGACTTGGACCTCGAACAACGTAGCGATAGCGTTATAGAGGGGTATGGAGCACTAGAAATGTTCGACGTAATTAACTTCGACTTCTTATCAACTGGTGATGCTCCAGATATGTATACTATATTCGCCGCCAAAAAAGATGGGTGCTTTGGTGCCATACATGCTAGTTCTCAGTGCACACCCCAGAAAACAAATCACAATATTATAGCACGCAATCGCATAGATTCGTCGGAAAAAATCATGCAGGTGCCAATTTTAGCAGGGACTTATGGCGGGGATCAAGAGGGGTCAGGGTCACAATTTTACACAACGCAACTAGAGTCTCTGTGGGAGCTAGTAGCCGCTACACTGGAGTATGAGGTTTATTTTGACGAGAATTTTGATTTTGCGAAGGGAGGAAAACTTCCAGGTATGCATGGGGGCGATAGGACGTGTAGTGGTGGCCATAAAGCCACTGGAAGTGATTGTTTCAGTACGCGGCTTATGTGGAGGGAAAATGGTGATGGTGAGGCATATCTTTATCTACCGATGTCCCTACAAAGAAACAGCTTTTGCAACAAGTGCTCCGGTTATTCAGCAGGCACCACTTGCGACGAGATGACCCATTGCTCCATGAATCGTGCGTCGTTTTCATTCCGCAAGGGACAGTGGAACAAGATTAAGATGCAGGTGTGGATGAACACCGACGGCAACCAAGACGGGTTTTGGAACCTATATCACAATGATAGACTAGTCATGTCAGAAAATTCCTTGGGATATCGAATCGACAAGTCAGTACCATTATCTGGTATGTACTTCAGCACCTTTTTTGGTGGAGGTAGTTCGGACTACGCTCCCGTCTATGACACACAAATAGACTTTAAAGGGTTCAGACTCACAGCTGGTATCGTTTGAGCACGACAAATGAAGCCAGGATACTTGCGCTTAGCCAGAAATCATATTATAAATTAGTACTCTCGACAGTGTTCATTAAAATTGCGAGAAAGTAAGACCTGGAAACATTTTGTTTAATTCCAACAATTGTCATGCTGCCTTTGCTGGGACAACGACACATGTATGAGCCGTAACGATCAGTAGTATTTTTCTCCTAGCAGTCTCGCGCATTTGGCTATTTGCCATCGAAACCCAATACCCATAGAAGACCCACGAGTGTTCATATCAACGACACTTCGGCGTATGGTGATATATATATATATATCTATATAAATATATATATATACATACATACATACACACACATATATATATATGTATATATATGAATATATATATATATATATGAGTATATATATATATATATATATACATACATATATATATATATGTAAATATATGTATAGAGTATACATATATATATATAAATAAATATATTTAGCAAATATTTACATATATTTCTCCATACATACAGAAGCATATTTATACACAAATCATAAACAAGCACAAAATGTAAATCACCTTGGAGTATGGCATGGCCTTATATCTTTGTGACCATATTAGTTGCAATATTTACATCTGGTTTACGAAGCACGATATATCCAGAAGGCCGGGTTGAACGTGTATCATAAATTTGTAGTTTCTTGTCATACATATTACAGTTTACGCAAATTAGCCTCGCTCGAGTCTTTAACGTACACATAGCACGATAAAAGCAAATTAGCCTCGCTCGAGTCCGTAACGTACACATAGCATGTTTTTTTGTCGTTTTTATAAGGTGTAAAAAAACATGCTAATTTTGGTTTTAATATATTCATTGTCTTGCACATATCTCCTTATCTTATCTCTCCGGTAATCCTCAATGCATACCTATCTCGCACATACATACTTAATATCTTTTCTTCTTGGGTTTCTTGCCCGCCTTCCTATCAGCAGCCTTCTTCTCACCTCTTAGATCACTCTTCATACGCTTATCTAGCACCTTATACCTACCCTTCACACCCGTCGGGCGACCTTTTCCGGTTGTCTTATTGGCTACGATAATTTGGGGCGCGTCTCGGCGACCCGATTTCTTATCAGCCTTACGCAGTAGTTTCTCCAACTGCGTGTGCGTGAATGCATATTGGTTTGAGCAACGGAGGAAACGTCACAACAGTAGGTAGGGAAGAGGAGTGAACTTGAAACTACACGCGTGTGCACGTGTAGAAACACAAACATAAAGCCGGTACAGTTACACCCATCCACAGTTGCCTATACGTGAGCGTAGTTTGAATAGTCCATATACAGCACTAAACTCGCATGCGATTCCTGGCAGCAAGCACACGCGTACGACAAGACCCACCTCTTTGCCCTTCTGAACCGCTCCCATATCGGAGTTGGCCACTCCCTCCATCTTGCGCTTGATGGCGTCGGTTTTCTTTTCGGACTTCATCTTCTTACGCGCCCGAGCCTCGGCGACCTTTTTGATTGGTCGAGCGTTGACTTCCTTTAGACGGTCTTTGTAGTACGCCAGCATGTCCTTCGGAATGGGTTGTTGGGGACCTAAGAGCAAATAGAAATGCAACGACTACTTGAGATGCTTAAGCCTCCCGTAGGGGTTTAAAACACCGCAGAGACACACCACAAGAGAGATGATATATGGATGTGACGAGAACATACAAATTACAAATGCAACGACTACTTGAGATGCTTAAGCCTCCTGAAGGGGTTTAAAACACCGCAGAGACACACAACAAGAGAGATGATGTATGGATGTGACGAGAACATACAAATGCAACGACTACTTGAGATGCTTATGCCTCCCGAAGGGGGTTAAAACACCGCAGAGACACACAACAAGAGAGATGATGTATGGGTGTGACGGGTGAGAAGAGGCGGGGACTGCGTCCGGAGCTTTGAGCTGGATATGTACAACGGACGAATACGCTACGGGGTTGTACAATTCAATGGGAGGACTGAGTAAGGTGTATGGTAGAAAGCTTGTTAATCTATGCACATATACACCGGGTCAAATATATCGGTCAGATTAGAGACCATCGCGACAGTGAGGATTGCTCGTCAGCAGATTCGTGCAACTTCCGAGAAACACATATCACGAGGATGCAACTAAGTGAGGTTTGAAATAAAAACAACTTCGCTAACTGTATAATCAATACAGTACCTGTACACAAGACGCTTACACGTACAACTGGGACACATACGGTAGATATGTCGTGTGCAAACACTCACCTGTCTGGAATTTCTTCTCGTGGTCCATGAACCAGTTGGGCAGATGCTCCTCTCCACGGTTGTAACGATTGTAAGAGTCATCAATCAGCTCATTACGCGACTTTTTAGTAGTGGGTAGAGAGAGATACAGACGAATTTGAGAGATCCATATCATTGGATAGGTGTCTACCATATTTAGAATCACTAGTGTGTTTGACTAGGCTCAACTGCATATACACTTCACAGCTAGAGATGAGTACAATATATATACATACGAAGACTTTAATTCCTATGTATGTGTACAAGATATATATACATACGAAGACTTTAATTCCTATGTATGCGTACTGCCCGAGGTGTGCGGATACGTGCAGAGCGGGTGAGATAAAGTTATATACGCACAGACGGGAACACATTGTTTCATACATCCTACGCTTACCTCAGACGCTACAAGCATAACATACAGTGTGCTGAGATTATGACATGCATATACGAAGTACTCGAAATAAGCACTCAACACCTGTACCTTCGACAACACCTATCGATAGCTGTATTCATATAAAAGGTGCAATACAATCCAACACGTACACGTGCTCACACAAACACCTTCTTGTTCAGCAAGAGTGTTCCTAAAGCCAATCCCTCGGCGTTAAGTGCGCGCGAGTCCTTTGGCGCCACCCCACCCGTATACGTAGGCTCTCCGTCTACGTTTTCATCCTCGCTATCGTCGTAGTCACTCTCACTGTCTGTTACATATTCCTCCTCCGCTACGGCTTCGAAGTCGCCGCCATTTGCCTCGCGCGCCAGTTTCTGCTTTTTGTTCTGAGCCGCTGTCGCAGTGCCGGCTTCGGCGGCGGGTTCGTTTACGTTTTCTGCATCCTGTTTACGTTTTCTGGTCTTCTCAGCGACTGTGGCAAGCGCGGAGATCTCCGCCTCCTCGTCATCGCCCTCGTTGAGGATGTCCGCAAAGGCATCCTGTTCAAAAACGAGTACGCATATACAGTGAATACGTATATACAACAATACAAAACAAACTTTTATACACGTTTTTAAGCACAAATCTACATTTATAACATATATATTACGAGAATACGAGCTATTTTTTTGGTATAGGTACGAACGCCCGTAAGCATCCGAGGCCATATCACAAGTTCGTATTCTAATGCATGAAACACAACCAACTTACATACATACGCATATATATATATTATACATACACATGCATATTCGTCAGACGTGTAGGATGCGACAAATGATCCCACATCAGACTAAAACTGGGCAAGTACAAGCCTGTCCCGTACACACACATATATATACATAGCTCTGACCTGCAATATCCTTGTAATAGAACACTGAACAATATACGCATCCATCTATATACAGACACAAACACATGCACACGAGTACGTGCACGTCCACATCTACAGATACCCCACTCACACACCTGCTGGAACCACATCTCCGTCTTCATATCCGAGCTCCTGTCATCCATATCCACCAACAAAGGGTTTCTAGCCTGCACCTCTGTCACAATCTGTTCCGTGTTCATTTCTTCGCCCAACACTACCTCCTCCTCTTTGCCGTTTCTCTTCTCCTTGCGAGCCGCTCTAGCGTCCAGCTTAGCCGACGCACGACCACCCGGTAGGTGGCGAGCTCTGTGGTCCAAGAACATCTCTTCGAGTTCCTGTGGGTGGTGGGCATGTTGAGAGGTTTATGTGAGAATACACACACACACACACATATATAGTGAACTACTATATCGTGGTATATACAATACCGATATATATGTACACAATGGCCTCCAAATATGTGGCGGGCTCTGTGGTCGAAGAACCTTTTTTCGAGCTCCTGTGAGGTATGGCCCGTGTATGGAGGACTATGTGCGCACAACATGTACGAATACACAGACAGACAGAAACAACAAACACATACACACATATATAGCATGAATGTCGTATACGGGGGCAATGGTGAGAGGATACATGGGGGCCTATGAAATACATAATCACAAGAGAGAAAAAGATGTACAGTTCAGAAATTCACACGCAGACAGCTGAATATATATATATAGATGAGCGTGCATGACTCTGCGCTATATACAACTATATATATATACATACATATACAAATACAAATTGAACATAAGCATATATACACATACCGCCTCTCGCTTGCGCTTGTACTTGGCTTCCTCCTCGTCTTCACTATCGTAGTCCGAGTTGTCAGTGTAGCTGTCACTCGCCTCTGAGTCATCACTCCAGTCATCCTCACTATCTCCCAGGATATCAGGCAGGGTTACATTGTTACCCACCTAAAAAAACAAAAACAAAAAAACGAGTATATACATGAGCACAGATAAAAAGCACACGCCTGCAAGCCACACCGTATTTGTCAATGGCGAACCAGAACAGACAAAACCGGGACATTCAGTCCTATTACGAAAAATAATCAATCAATCAATAGATAAGTACAATACCCACCCACCTGCTCCAGATTCTTCGCGTTCTTGAGCGTCTTGATACCGAACAGCGTCGCGTCCTCCTGTGTATCGAATGTGTCTCCGGGCAGGTCCATGTGCAGCGCCAGCCGCTCCTTCTGTTTGGCCTCTAGCCGGTGTGTCTTGCGGCGTTTAGCCTTAGTGTCGCGCTTTTCACTCTCTTTAGCCTCGGCGATCATGTCTTCTATCTCGAGTGTTTCTGCTTCTTCAGTGGTCATCTCCACCCCATCGTCGTCCGCGGCGTCGGCGTCGTCCGCGTCCTGGGGGTAGAGATAGTAGGCAGACATAAGTTAGGTATACATAACTTGGGATTTACTGTTGTATGTGCATCGATGGGGTAGAAACGAGTGGTGGACTATATGTATGCAGGTGTACCCGCATTGAGTGCCTAGAGTTGGGAGGCACACGTTACTTAAGTGTGCAGTTGTATTAGATTCGCGTTCGTGGGTTTTTATAAAGTACATAGAGATATGTGACCCAAAGTTGAGGTTTGTTGATGGGATGAACACGTACGTAGTTGTATGTTCAAGGGGTAATTTGATAGAAGATATGATCACGTAGACTATATCAACGATAGCCATCAACCTCTGTATACATATATATATACATACAAGAATATAGACAATATAATATTAACGATACTGTACTTGTCGTTGTACATTACAGTCTCATTGGATTAAGGACATTGAATGCTGGATCACTCGACAGTCAGCGTTAGTATATGCAATGGGCGTTGTACACAACGCGTACACTCATACTTAACATGCACGCACACCCAATCAGCAAGACATTTAAATAATATTGTATACACATAAGTCAATGTGTAAACAATCCACATATATCTATATATATGACAGAGTACATTCATATATATCATGGCCTTCAAGAGATATTCACCCACCTCTGTAATGTCCACAGTCTGGCCGGGTACAGGAGCGTCGGGGTGTTCATCCCTCCACACCTTGCGCATCTGCGTGCGCCATTTGAGCAGAAGCTTCAGATCCTTTTTGCCCAAGACCTTCAGATCTTCCATGCACAGGTGTACCTACGAATATAAATATAAAACAAGATACTGTAAGGATAAACAGAAACTTGATATCTTCCTCAACCCTCCCCCAAACAGATCTTCCAGAGGTTGGAGGAACAAAATGCGAGACCACTGTAAGTTCAACTTGTGAGACTATCGGAATGATTATTGTTGGTGTGTAAGGGATTGGATGATTCATGGACAACCCAACCGAATGTGCAAGACTGCACTGTCACGTGTATCTGAAAATTGAACTTTGTGTAATAGGTTAGGGTTATGGTAGGGTAAAACTTAGTCTTATGATAAGAATTTAACTTTGTCTAGTACGATAGTGTGATATGGTAACCGCGAGATTCATTCAGACACCTGCATGCGACACACTACGTTGACCTGTGGTCATGTCCTGATTAGAGCGCACAATATCTTGCTGCTGGCGTAGACAGTGCGCAAGCCAAACGTCTGTAGCAGACGTATCCACACAAAACAAATACCAAGCTACATATATGACCAGTGCAGTGTAAGGGAGTGGGCAATATATACATATGCAGACCCGTCACATACAGACGTAGTACTTATATGAATTGATATACTCGTGCCACACGGCAGGAGCTCTTCGATCGCACAGCCACTCGCCTGCTGATCACCAGATGTGATCTGCGACGGTCACACAAGACACAGAACACACATTCACAACGTCTAAACGCAGGCATGCAGTACGTTGTACAGGCTCATACACATGCACGTACAAATACACACGCAGCAAAAGTATTAGAATACAAGCTCAAGTCACGGATGGCAGCCACACACCTCTTGGGTTGTGGCCACGTGCTTCTTGAACCGCACGTCGTCTTCCTGTTGGTCGTCGAATGCGATCTGTGAGGTCTGCACCAGAAACAGCATCGGATCCTCGCAGTGAACAAACTGGGACGCACACTTCTTGGTGTGTTGCGTGATATTATCGTCGTAACTGGGAGCATACCGAGGTAAAACACACGAGGTCAGTTGGTATATGTACAATCGTATATGAATGAGTGACTGGCTACGTGCTTTACGTCAGTAAAGCCCTATATATATACGAAAATAGATACATACTTCCAAGTATATATATTTGTTTATATACGTTTGTATAGATGTAAATACGTGGTTGGTAACGTATGTGTATATCAAGCACAATGTGTGCCTGATGAGACTGTACAGAGCCTTGTACGTGCATGTCAATAAACGGATAGAAAGCGAGGTGCATATGCAAAAAAATCCACATGTACACCTTCATGGCATTTATATATATATATAAATATCTTACAATCCCCACCGGCCCTGACCGAGTAATATATACTATACACGTCTTTACATACCCAGCGGCCTGTGCTTTCTTTGTCTTCGCGGAAAACAAATCCACCTTCTTCTTGTTCTCTACGTTTTCGAAAACGTACTTCGGGTCCAACAGGCGTGGATCCATCTTATCGGGTGCCTTGTACCCTTTGCACACCACAAAGATCTCCGCAGATACATTACGGGAACTCGGTGGCTTGGTGGCGTGCACTTTTTCGAACAGTTGGTTCAGTACCCACATGAAGGCAAAGTAATCGCCCGATCTGAACACCTTGGACACAAACCAGCCTCCGGGTTTGAGGAATTCGGTTGCCAGTTGAAGCGATTTCAGGGCCAACTCGACCTGTTTTAATCGGTAGAGGACAAATAACGAGGAAAGCAAGTCCGTGAGACATTTTTACTGCCGTTGAAACAGATGCGCACCTGTGCAGTCCCTGCGGTGTTGAGATGAAGCAGCGCATATCCCTACATGTGAATATATACACTCCACGTGATTCTTTATGAGTGTTTGGGGGTTCGGGTTCTTAACCATAGACTAGTAACACACAAATATACACCTGTGTATAGCGTCGTGAGGTCAGACAAACTCCGATTTGGACACTTAGTACAGCTATGCCGCGGGTACAACTTCGGGTGCTTGTCGGCATTTTGTACACACATGTGGCAGGCAGTGGATAGGTATACGAAACGCACATATAAGCGCACGTTGTAAGCCTGTGTGAATGTCTTTAGTACAACGCACATATAAGCGCACGTTGTAAGCCTGTGTAAATGTCCTTAGTACAACGCACGTATAAGCGCACGTTGTAAGCCTGTGTGAATGTCTTTAGTACAACGCACATATAAGCGCACGTTGTAAGCCTGTGTAAATGTCCTTAGTACAACGCACATTTAAGCGCACGTTGTAAGCCTGTGTGAATGTCCTTAGTACACAAACAGGAGGGCACTCTGCCCTATATCGACGTTTGATTCATACATACATCGATGACGCTTGGCACTAGCTATACGCGCCTGTACATATCGGTTCCACTTCAGATGCGAATGCAACACACCCTTGAATACACACTCGTTTTGTTCTTAAGAGGGGGTTACATCCACACGTACACCAAGGACACCGCATGTGCAGGCACACGTACACCCTTAAACATTTATTCCTGATTGGTCCGCTATAAATAGAACACACCTGAGAGAAAGCATCTTGGACCCAGGCGGTACCAACATTGGGAGCACCATCGTGCAACACAGCATCCACCTGCCAGCCCTTAAGCTCTTTCTTAATATTCTGCCGGCACTTCTCGGTTGTGATATCTTCAGTAAGGCCGATGACATTTCTGCTCGAATAACACGGAGAGTCATGTGGCCAAGCCGTGTCAACGGGTTGTGTGATGAGGACGAAAGACAGGCAAGAGTATACAGAGGTGAACAAACAGGTGTCGTATGTGGTGGTTGCCAGTGGTAGAGAAACACAGGCGGGGCTGCTCCGGAGTGATTGTAGGTTCGTGGTACTAATACGCGGCAACAACCAAATGTAAAATAGCGCCGACGTATATATATATATAAATGCGTAGAGATGCACAGGTAT